CGGCCGGTGCTCGCAGCAGTTTCAGCGAATGCTGGCTGCGGAGCCGCCGGCAGCGCTCTCGCGCTTCCAAGTCGAGCATTTCCCCCCTTCAGGCCCAGCGCTGTCTTTAAGCAAGACACCATCTGCTCTCTTTGGTTTAAGATGGTTTTTATTTTCCGTGAGGTGCCGCTGCAGACGCCGGTTGTGATTTTTTACACTCGACACGTACATTTCTTTCAAATAAAACCCGTGTTTAAAGCTGAACAAAAGCCTTTCACTGGCAGAAGACACCCCTTTGGCTGGGAGCCTTCTCCTGTGCCAGCCCGGCAGACTGGATCACGTTTTATTTAAACCAGCAGCATTTACAGGTTACGTGGGTCACACGGACAGAACTCTGAGAAAAGCCCGAGTTTTCTGCCTGCAGGATCTGAGACGACAGGGCCCTGCAGCACAGCGTCCCCCTCCAAACACACGCGACCAGGGATTCCGGAATCCCAGTCCGAGCTCAGATGCACCAGTGGCATGGCACCAGAGCTTAGCTGTTAGCAAAACATCCAATTCAAAACTCTTCCGAGCACAGAAACCACCAAACCTCAAGGTCTCGCTCCAGAAGGAAAGCGCTTGCTGTTAACCTGTCTGTCGCCTCCCAGCCGTGCCGTGCCTGCGGCAGCTGGACCAGAGCTCACTCGTGCCCAGGTCGGGCTGCAACACCCGTCACATCACTCCTCTGCCCCCCGCTTCTGCTAGGCCGTGTTCTTCAGCCCCTCTGCCCTTCCGCAGGCTTTGCCATGGCTTCCCCAACTTAGCACATCCTTCTTGAACCAGGCACACCAGAACTGAACACCGTACCGCAGCAGCAACCCCCCGGCACCAACACCTCCCTGCTCACAAGCCTGTGGCTTGTCCAGCTGAGGGCGACAAAAGGGGGTCCCCCTGGGCTTCATGGAACGCTCGGCTCTGCCCGCACCCAGCTCAGGAAGAGTCCAGGTCACGTCACCATCAGTGACTCAACCTTCATTATTCCATCCTCTCCCCCGAAACCACGACTGCGCTTTCTTCCGAGGCACATGCAAAAGCACTGCATGGCCAGGCATCAGTTTTCCCAGACCACCCCCTGGAGCGCTGAGCGACTCCCGCTGCATTACGCCAGGATTCAGTTGAAACCCACGTAACCCTACGTTGGGGTTAATTGTTCTACCTTCTTAATGAAGTCAATCATCTTAGGGAAACGGACACCGCTACTGCGAGCCACAGCACCCGCGGTGTCGCTGGGATGGGTCAGTCTGACAGGACTTACTTTGACTGGCACTCACTAACGCCGTCTCGCTGGGCGTCAGGGGAGAGCAGCCCTTTGCTGTCGGGGGCTCACGCCAGCTGCCTATGGCACCCCTGCGGCGCTCTGCCAGCTCCCCGCAGCCCCCCGGTTCCCGAGGATGGTGGCATAACTCAGGACAGGGCTGCACTGCACCTCACGGGGGTCAGACCAGCCCCTGGAGAGGTCTGCTGTCGGTACCTGCTGCTGTGCTTTCCGCACCTGCCTACCGAAATGGCAAGGGTTAAACCCCTCTGCTCGTCAGACGGACAGCAGAGGCACTAACCGGAGCCAGGCAGTCCTTTCCAGCCTCAAGCCCTAGCCTTTGCTATGCTGCCCCTGACTGCCTCCATCTCCAGGCTGGCTTTGGCCCCGCATGCCCCGCTCCCACAAGTCACCACTTACCGCTCCTCCCATTCCTTCCTACGGCAAAGTTCTTCCTTCAGCTGGCACCCGCTTTCTTGGAGAGTACAGTGTTTCCTGGCATTTAGAGATCCCTCCTGGATCTCTAACCACTCATTTCCCTTTCCGTTTGCTCCCAGCAGAGGTACCGCAATTATTTTCATCCTCATGAACACGGCGCTTCCCAAGCTCCTGGTGCTGCCAGCACGGCTCCCAGCCCCACCACCCACGCTAAGGTGGCTGATCCCAGAGGCCGCCGAGTGCTGGGACCAACGCCCTCAGCACGTCACCATGGGCCCAGTGCTGGTTCCCAGGCGTTGCCAAATCCGCGTGCATGCGGGGCAGTGACTGCCTTCCAGCACTGCCGCGTGGAACTGCTCCTTCCGCCGGGCAGCAGAGCTCTGCAAAGACTACCACACCAAACCGAGCTCAGAGCAGGAGCAAACCCTGCGGGAGACCCGCGCGGCGGTGCCGGAGCCAGAAGGTACGCTAGGGTCGGGGAGAGCACGGGTCAGGTTTCCTTACCTAATCGATACCCCTTATAAAGACGACCCTTCTCCCCATCCAGAGCGGCCTGGACATCTTCCAGACGGTCACACTGCACGAACCCATAGCCACCGTACATGCTGAGGGCTGGAAAAGTTAACAGCAGGGCAGGGCGGGCTACGACTCAGGGACACAAGTGACCCGCGCCCAGGCCACTGCCTAACCCCGCCGGCTGAGCCGGAGGCCCTACCCAGACAGGGCTAGGCAAGGTTCCTGGGGGAACCAGGTCTGCCAGGATCAAAATGCAGAGCGTAAAGCCTCTGAACGACACGTGGGGGATCAACCTCCTCCTGCCCAGGCAGAGCAAGCACAGCCCGTGAGGTGACCAGGTCAAGTACTCTGAAGTCACCTGAAGCGCATCGCAACCCCAGGAGCTCCAGCGGTGGAGTACTGCGTCGCGTTTCGGCTCACCGGGGGAATCGCTCCCTTAGCCAAAAGTACCATTAAAAGGTCACTCTCTAGGAACCATCAGTCACTCCTCATCACCAAACAGCACTGGACAACCCTCCTCGCCGAGTCCCAGCCACAAAAAGGCAGAAGACAACATACTAACCCCTGATCTTGCCATATTTTGAAAATCTCTCTTCCACCTCGTCTCGAGTCAGGCAGTCTGTGGGCAAATCGCCGACAAAGTCTTCTCTCTAAACCCCGAGGGTTGGGCTGTCACTGAAGTCGCTGTCTTTGATGCTATTGTTCTCGCATCCTCGAGCCATTCCGCTTTCCTTCCAAATCCAACTCTTCGCAAAAGAGAAATGCCACGCGTATAATTCCAATCCGCAACGTTAAACCGAACAAGCTCAAACTTCAGGGCTGCGCAGACACGAAGCCAATGGGGCCTGCCGGATGCCAACTCGGCTCCAGAGACATCTTAACCGCGGGACACCACGGGCCGGCAGCGCGTGCCGCAGCGCTTCGGCTGAGCTCTTGGCAACGCGGCAGGCGTAAGGCTCGCTGTTGTGCAGATAAGCTGCCATCGTTTAACTCTGAACTAAGATACAAATACAGCTCGTTTTCCACTAAAACACCCTAACTTGAAGCGTTTCAAGACACCCATTGCTGTCACAGTATTTCCTCATCCCACTGGTGTTGGAACTTAGCAACCTTCCCATACGAGGAAGGAAACGCTCGGCAGCGTCACCGAACAGGCCCCAGGGTTTCAGCGCAGCCTGGAGGAGGCACCAGGCTCGGCTCACTTTACTGGACGGGATATTCCAGCTTTCCGGTACCAGAAAACGCAGGTTCTGTCCCCACAGTGTCTGCTCCCACAGAAGGTGGGTCCAGTGCCGGGACGGTAACCACCCCCCCATGGGTGCTGCACCCCTACACCTCACACCCTTGGTAACCCACACTGCTGCGTTCCAAGATGGAGCAGTCGGCAACCCTCCCTGCACAAACCCACCCAAAGGGCTACAGGGCAACCCACGCCCTGCACTCACGGTCTGGCTCGGAGTCACCATCACTCCAAGCCCAAGCTAACGCAGCACACCCAACCTCCAGGTGAAGCGGGACATCTGAACACGGTACCCATCCTCCAAAGCCCTCACACCTAACAGCAGGGTGGCATTTTCTGTCTGTAACACGCAAGGAGCCTGGAAAACACATGCTGGTACACTGAGTACTGCTCACCGGGCGACGTGCACACCAGCACTCCCCCACAGCCACCCGCAGCCCCGGCGGCTCAAACCTTCCCTCGAAACAAACAGGCCGGACCCCCAGAAAAACGAAACCGTTCTGCACAGGTACTTTTCCAAGCCTGAGCTGCCACGACACACCCCCACACCAGGTTTCAGCTGTACAATTCGGGGAGGGTGTAAGACTAAACTTGTGCTGGTTTCAGCTGGGATGGAGTTTGCTCCCCTTGCAGCAGCTCGTACGAGGCCATGCTGAGAAGGCTGATAACACTGACGGGTTTGGTTGTTTATGCCAACCCAAGGACTTCTTCCCATTTCGGATACTGCCCCTGTGTTCCCAGGACCTTCCCTACTGGAGGCTGGGTGGGACACAGCCTGGAGAGCTGACCGGGCTGACCCAAGGGAGATGCCAGGCCACACGTGACGGTGGGGGGCTGGGGGGAGGCTCCGTCTCAGGCTCTGGCTGGGCATCGGTCGGTGGGTGGTGAGCAGTTGTGCCATCTCTTTTCCGTCCCGTTATTTCCATTACACACCAGCAGCAGCACATCAGGAGTACCAGTACTGTTAGTGTTGTCAGAAGCATTATTTCATGTCCTTCCGATGATTAAATTGCTCTTAGCTCAACCCACGAGTCTCCCAGTCTTCTCCGCCCCATGACACGGGGAGGAGGGAGGCGAGTGGCGGCCCGGAGGGGCGTGGGGGCCGGCGGGGGGGAGGGGGGCGAGTGGCGGCCAGGAGGTGCGTGGTCCCTGGCTGGGGTTAAACTGCACCACGCCTCACACCCACATCGCTTTTCCTCCAGCAGACCCCGCAGGGATGGGAGGCAGGGAATGCCTCCCACTCTAACCGACTTCTTAAAAGCAACTGAACTGCCAGAACAGAGAGGGGAAAAAGCCAACAGCCAAACCAAAACCAAACACCAAAAAAGCTAATTCCTTCTGCCACATTTGCCTCAACCCTCCCGTGTGTTCGTACACATACAGCATTTCACCTGCCAGAAGTACCAAACTTGTCCCATTTTTGTGTATGGAAACACCAGATTTCTCTTCTACTGCAGCCTGAGCTCTCATCAGCTGAGGGAGAAGGAGCTTCCCAATCCCACCAGCAGCACCAGGGATGGGCACTCGGAGCCCCTGCGAGCTGCTGCAGCGTGACCCGTGCGCACGGTCACGGGACACCACGCACACACACGGCAAACAGACCTCAGAGACCCAAACTGCTGCTGACAGAACTTTCACTTTCAGTATAGAAAACAGTAAAGAGTTTCTTTTCCTTAAGGGTGGGGACAGCAGGGAGGGGCTGGGAGAGGGTGCCAGAGTTTTCCACACACAGAAAATCAGGGAGCTGCTTCCCCACTTGCAGGTCCCTTTCAAAGCAAAGCGACAAATCCCAACCATCAGACAGCCCCAATTACTGCAGAGCTCTCACACACTAGCCTTTACTGCCTCTTGCCATTTCCCACTTGGCGGCTGACATCGTTAAGGGCCCCTCAGTGATCTCACGCGACACCAGCCGACCGACTCCTGTCCACGGAAAGTGTTTTTCTGGAATGCTGCCAGAGGCCAACTGTGCATTCAGCAGCTTAAGGGTGCCGACCCCCTGCCCAGAGACAGAGCAGGTTCCTACCCCAGCACAGCCTATGTCAGCTCCTGTGCCAACAAATCCCCTGGAAGTTAGTTACAAACACGCTCCAAAATTATTATATTTAAAGGGAAAAGTGTTTACTGATCATGCTACGGCTTCAGAAGCAAACACAGCCGAAGGGAGGGGTCGAGACTAAGCTGACACGAGTGAAACACCACACAGAAGGGTGCGCGAAGTTCCTGGGCAAGGCAGAAACGATAACGCCGGCCAGCACGGAATGGAAGGATGCTAAGGAGCAGTAAGGTTCCCACCAGCACTGCCTAGCAGCGCCAGCACTTCAGCGCCCACACGCAGAGGCAGGCAGCCCCGCCGAGCACC